CAAGAGGGTTGTCTGCCCAGAATTTGTAGCTCACCTCCTTGTAAAACTTGTACGATACTGTCTGTAGTTGCCAGTATACAGAGCAGAGTACACGATTGTAAAAATAATGCAAAGAGGTAGCAGAAGTTTCACAACTCTAAAGTAGTGGTTGATCAAATACTTTGCAAAACATTCTGCTTTTAAATTCTCTAGCGACTAACACTAAGATACGTATTATACAATACATGGATAAGAATTACGATGATTAGGTTATGGCTTTCCCGATGCGGGTAATATTTACTTTGAGCGTATATGATACACCACGTAAATAGTAAAACCTAAAATTTGAGATAGATAATAGACCACTGTTACATAACAGTGTCTGTCTAGTGCATCTTTATTTCATGTGTGATGATTAGGTTATGGCTTTCCCGATGCCAATTCATGTAACAAAAAAAAAACAAAGGAAAACTCTTCCCTTTCTAGTCATCCAGCAACTAAGTTAAGTATCTGCCAAAATGGCTAGTTAATCAAAACTACTTAATTAACCACTCTAATGACCCCACTTATGAGAAGTTCAATATTCCTACCCTATAGTGTTATTGCCTGCCTCGTGCTGCTGCTTGGATTTGGGAGCCCATTAACTAAAGAAGGGTTTTAGTTTAGTTAATTAGTTTAATTAATCAACTACTTGATGACATGACAAAGACAAACAATCCACCTTTCATTCCTAATTGCCCCTTTTGACTCTCCACAGAAGAACTGAAACCCTTTTTCTTCTCACTTTTTGGAGAATCATGAGATGTCTGTCCCAAGCTTTCTTAGTACTGATGATGAGAGGCTGACTGACTGAGACCCATACAAGGGAATTATAATTTGCTCTTTTTTTTTGTTGTTGTGTGTTGTTGATCAACATATTTTCTGAATTCCTTGAAAAGGAGAGCTGACCATATTTAGAATAGAAGTCCTTCAAAAGTGCAGGTTTCCTGGAACACTCTTTTTGCCACATGTGTGGGTCATTAACAAGTTTTTATATGCATAAAGTTTTTTCCTTTTGAAGTGGTTGAGTACTTCTATTTATAACAATAATTATATGACATGTCGCGATTTCGATTACATTTTCAGGAACCGGTCTAACATGTAGTAAGTACTTGTTGAAACTTGAAAAACATTAAGAATAATTGTCACTCATTTGAGTTTGCACAATTGGTCTGCTAGATGGTCAGACTGAGAGAAGAGGGAGAAGTAGCGATGATTTGCACACTTGTTGGACGACGTTGACTCTTTCGATCTTAATGGGTCTTGTTCCCTCCATAGAGATTTAAGTAAAAAGTAAAATGAGTAGCGAAATTGGTTATCAACGACTCTACATTAAAAGATTATATTCAAAAAAATTACCTTATTCCAATGAACTTTGAGTACTAGTTATTAATCTAGTACAAGTGTCCCTCTTGGGAATTAGTAGTTAGAAATCATTAGATAATCTGTTGACCATAGTACTCACAGAGCAAAGACTTTGGTTTTGCTTCCACAATGCTACCATGTGAGGTAGCAGAAGATGACAAACATGGGAAAACAAGGAAACGAGCTTTTGACTTTAATGACATGGGTTAATTTTTTTTATTCATAATTAACTAGTAATTATTAATCAAGTATGTATATGCTCTTGTCCTGGTCCTCTCTTTATGTGTGGAGCTGCAGCTTCTATAACACACAGAACATGATAAAAAGAAAGAGCCTATACTAATTTATGAATTAAACTAATTAGCACTTAAGGAAGTCATGTGTTTGTGTAAGTGGATTAGGGGCTTAATAATGTAGATCTTATGTCGGTCTTCCCTAGCACTACATACTGAAACTTACTGTCCAGTGTAAAACAAAAATGTTATTCTCCTAACCTAAATTAAGCAATTGATTCTTGATATGACATATTTTCATACATTAACGGTTTTCCGACATTTTATTCAGTTTATAAGCGACATAGATATACCAACTCACCAATTTATGAAAATATTGCTACTCCTCGATTTTGTTAATAATAGACTTGGAATTAAAAATATTCAATTTTGAAAACTTGATAAGATTAATGGTACTACTCGTAATAGGAGAAGATATTTTTTCTTCAATTAATAGATAACATTTATTGCTACTTCTACATTAAACAATATGAGAAAAGTATAAAGTACAGATCTTATCAAATTCGAACCGACTACCTCAAAATCATCATCATAATTACGACTTAACCCGATTGATTAGTACAAAATGTTTCATGTTTTTGGGTGCAACTAGCATTTGTTTAGGTTTAGTTAAGAGATAAAATGGCAATGCAACTGCTCCCTTTGAAAACCTGGAGACCCATCCAAATTACATATTGATCATTCCTCCATATGGGTTTGCATAAAACGCGGGTTCCCACATGTGCCCACGAACTTAGAAGAAGAAGTGGTTTTATCGTTTGGGGCAAGCAAATGCAAAGACGAAATTGTGCACAAAATGCCAATTTAGAAGAACATCGTTATTCAAATGTTTTCGAGTCTCTCTAGGAAGAATTGCACTCCCCCAAAAACCAACTCGGTTATCTTCTTCTTGTGGTCTTATCGGTATAGTCATTAGGAAGTAAAATCCACCACACCATCCCCATAGCAAGTCAAATCTTAGTTCCTAACTATAGAGTCTAGAAACATATGTACCCCAGAGTTATAAATTAATATCATCAATATACATGGAAATCAAAACATAAAGAGTGTTTAATCAAATGGATACATAATGGCTATGGTAAGTTTGTAAAAATTATAAATCAGGGTTTGGAGTCTGAGCACAATTCGTTCGACCGATTGCAAAATTTAGTCGACCGATGTAGTGATTTATGTGGCATGTGATTGACGAGGTTTACAATGGTTGATCGCTCACTTTCACAGGTCGAGTGAGTTCAAGAGGAGATGCCTAAACCAACAAAACGTATCGACTTTGTGTTCTATAACATATGAAGGTCGGCCAAAGAACCATAGGCCGACCTCTTAGTTTCCATGTCGAGTGAATTCAAGGCGTCATGCCTACACCAAAAATTTCGTTTTATCAGGTCAATCATCTTGTCATATAGGTCGACCGCTTCAAGTGAAGATGCTAACCTAACATACTTGTTGCTTGTTCCGATCTACGACTATGTTGTGCAAGATGACCAGCTTTGGAGAACAAAATGTTCAGCACCCATAATTTGTAGTGAAACATATCGTTATCATCAACAAATCTATTATTAAACGCTAGTTATGGTGGATTTGTTCTTCTTCACCAAGCTAAAAAACAACGATAACTTATTTACACAAATTTTATATTGATAAACAAAAAACATAGATGGTTATTTATTGAGTTTTTCATTACCCATGTCTTGTTTATTGCTAAAACTTTTCTAATTATGGAATCTCACTCCACATTGATAATGTGATGGTCAACCGATCGATTGCTAATTGATAGAATAAGTCGATCATTATTTTTCTTTTTAGTGACGGAATCATGTTCTAACCGTGATTAAGTCATGATCAACCAATCAACTATCGGGAGAAGTCGATCTTTTTCCGTCTCACTAGAATTCCAAGGGTATTATTGATCGACGAATGAGATTGTCAGACTCCAAATCACTGTGACTTGGAGTTTGGTTTAATCATGGGCAACCTACTATAGCTAGCTAAGGCTAGGGGGCTAATATAATTAAGAGGGCTCTCTAATCGTGATTAGCTACTTTGACATTCCTGATCACCACCTCACCCATTTGTTCTTTGGCAGTAATTGATATTGCCCCTCCACATCCCTATAACCCTAACCCTAACTATATACATATAGCCTCGATCGAGTGAATGAAGTAGCTTAGCTAGATAGGGTTGGCTAGCTAGCTAGCTAGCTATATATGTCTACTTGGTTTTTGCACGTGAACATGACGTGCCACATACAATGCTTTTTATAGCTTCTAATTTACCTCATGTTAGTTAGTTATCTCACATGGTTCAATTTTACATACAGTTTACTTTGTCGGTTAAAACCCTAGCTTAGAGTGTTGAACAACAAAATTCTGATGCGACCCTTTTTGGGGTCAAGTCTAAGATGCATTAATGTAGGACAGGAGTCCTCACGATTTTCAGCCTAGAACTAGCTAAAGGAATGATGATGTTTATATGTTCGAAGGGCTTTCTTTCTTGAGCTCCCAATATTCATAGTTCTCTCTTCTATGTGTTCTTCGGCTTAATCATTATAACTTTTATAATTATCCCACCCAACCTGGATCTTGCTAATTAGCAAGGCCACTCAATTACATTTGAAAACCGTTATTACATTTGGGAAAATAATAAGATCTTTCGTATAACCTTCCGTCTCATCAACAATTCAATATTCACATATGGTTGTTCAAAAGGTTCAAATTGACCAGTTACATGTCAAAATTCACTTATAGCAATTTGGGTCAATAATCTAATTATAAGAGCCTCTCTAGTTATATGCATATAAATTATGGTGATGAGATTCGCCTCTAACGATAATATTGGTTGAATATTCAATAAATAATTCACCTCGTTAAAATAAATCATTATACTCTAAGATAGAGGTCATAAGACACCATTAACTTTCAACTTAACCAACCAATTTGCCACTTGAAATCACATCTTAGCCATAAGAAAAGAAGTATATATATATAAGTGCATGTTGTCCTTTTCATCTCATTCTACAAGAATGAAGCTACCATATGAGTATTCTACTCCTAACATACTATATAGTATATTCATAAACAAATACAAAGAATCACTTCATGAGCTCCTTCTCTCTCCTATCTTTTTTTGACTCACAAGATCTCCTCTAAAACCCCAACCCATTCCTCCCTTTAAAAACCCCCAACCTATCCCTCCTTCCACCTATTCCAACCTCACTTCACTCCCTTACTCACATCTCATTTACCTTTGTCCACTCTCTCTACACCATAGTTCCACAAAACCACACACTACCCATTACCATTCCTTCTCATCATCACTTCTCAAACCATGTCCACCGCCGCCTCCAAACACGATCAACAACCCTTCCACCTCCACACCACCACCTCCCCCGCCGCCGCCGCCGGCGGCGGAACCTTCACCATCCTCCAACGAAACCCCGCCACGTCGTCGTCCTCCTCCCCTCCCGCCACGGAGCGCCGCGGCCGGCGCAACAAGCAGGCCGAGCCGGGCCGCTTCCTCGGCGTCCGCCGCCGGCCCTGGGGCCGCTACGCCGCCGAGATCCGCGACCCGACCACGAAAGAGCGGCACTGGCTCGGCACCTTCGACACGGCCCAGGAGGCCGCCCTGGCCTACGACCGGGCCGCCCTGTCCATGAAGGGAACCCAGGCCCGCACCAACTTCGTCTACGCCCAGCCCAATAATAATAATAATCACAACAACAACTTCCATTCCCTCTTATCTCCCTACGACCCCCACCAAATTACATTCATGCCACCGCCGCCACATCACCACCACCACCCGTTCCTCATCAACTACCCCGCACCGAAGTACGATAGCCCGCCCGCACCGGATCGCAGCCCGCCGCCAGCCGGGGACCACGATTTCCCCTCCCTCTTCCCTCCCGCTGACGTGGACGAGTCCAATTCCGGGTACCTGGGCTGCATCGTACCGGATAACTGCCTCCGCCCGCCTTCCTCGGGCTCGGGATCCTCCTCGTCCAGCAGCAACAACGGGCAGCCCAAAACGCCGTCGTTTGGTAACGCGGCGAATTCGGGACTGGCTTTCGGCGGGGAGGAGTCGTGGTCGCCGTCGTGGGACGGGTACGATTCCGGGGACCTGTCGGCGGTGATCAACAGCTGCCGGACGATGAGGGTGGATGACGCATGCATGAATCCTCTGTACTCGAGCCCTGGTGATCATCGTTATGAGCGGAATGATGACGGCAGTGGGGCGGCGGGTTACGGCGGGCTGGCGGCGGCGGGTCAGTCGTATGGTTCGGGGACGAGTTACGGCGGCGAGTCGGTGGATTTCGGCTACTCGTTGTTCTAGTTATTATTAGCTAGTATTCGTGTGTTCCAGTTGAGTTATGAGTCGTACTAGCCTAATATATATATATTTTTAATTCACGTGCATGCTAATGCTAGGGTTCTTCATCCCGGTCTTCTCGGGTCTTGCTTTCTAGTTAAAATCCCGCTGCCATATGATTTATGTAGTTCTTTTTGTAAGTAGAACGAGAGAGGGAATGAGACATTTTGCGCGCGTGTTTTGGAGTTAATTATCGTGAAAGAATGATTAAGTCGACGATCATGATAGTATTTTGTTACAAGAATTTACGATGAAATGAAAGTTTGTGAAATTTCTTTTTGATAAGCTCGAATATGCGGGTTCGTCAAGAACTACTTGAAAGGAACTAGATACATTGTCTCGTATATTTTTCTTAGATTGCATGAATTGTTTCAAACAACCATTAGAAGCTCTAGAATAATATAGGAGTCGTTTGGAGAATATGAGTTAAAATCTATAAATTGTCAACAATTTAAAGATTCTAACTCTTCGGATTGTTGAAAATAGATTTTGAAATGTTTATTGATTGGTAACTGTGATTGTAAACATTCAATGAAAATAAATTTTTTAATTTTATATTAAATAGCATGTATATCCTTAATAAAAAAAATTAGAGTGGTTCGAGAAATATTAAAAACTTAGTTGATAAATATATTTAATATGATAAATAAAAGAAAGAAAGAGAAAAAGTAGGAGAAAAAAAATATCATGAATAAAGATATAGAATCTCTCTCATTATGAGAGATTTGATATCCGTAGATTTTAGAGATTTGAAATCCCTAAAGCTAAAATCCACAATACAAAAAGCAACAAAAAAACATAACTTTTTACAAAATCTACGGATTCAATGAATCCACGCCCTAAATCCTATTCTCCAAACGACTCCATAATGTCTTTCTCATTTGACCTTAATCATTCTATATATAAGCATTCAGAACTTCACTCATATTGTAATGGAAAAATAGTTCGTCACTCATTCTAACTATAGATTATGATTACCGCTTCAACGTAACTGTATTGTTTACTTATACAATTCACAGGATCGGTATAATTTTTTGCTTTTCTCTTATATATAAAAATCAAAATTTGTGTTCGGAAAAATCGACAGAGATTGGTAAATTCAAATATGCGATTTATAACAATTTCGCAGGATTAATTAACTAACATGCAAGTATTCAAGAAGAAGCAAAGAATAATAATGCCGAGCAGTAAGGTATATGGACGTATAGTCAATAGTGTGTAAATTTTAGTAGTCTCTCCATTAAGTGGTATTCGGTCTTTCGGCCAATTGCCTTACTTTTTTGTGGACAATGGGAAACCCAACCCCACCTCACTCACAAATCACAATTAAAAAAATGGCGGGGATGACGTAGGCCATGCGACGCCATGACCACACGGCACGACCCATGATTTCCTAAGCAGTGTCGCTAAAAAAAGATTTTTTAACCAAGAGTTTGGTCGCTAAAGAAATCAATTCAAATTTAGGCCTTTAATTATATATATCATTAAATGTCGAACCAATTTGCTTTTAATTCCTGCTCTGGCACATTGTCGTTTGCTTTGAATGAAATCGTATAGGCAGGCAGCTGTCACCACTCACCATCCTTCCTTTTGAAGTGCAATCTTTTATTTCTTTCGTGTGGGGTGAAAGGGAAGGAGTGTACCGTACAATACCAAAAAACAAACAAAGCCAGGGCATGTATGATAAATTGATAATTATATACAACAATGGGGTCACACAGATTTTGCACACGTCCTTCCTTTCAAAAGTGACACTTTTGTTGTTTACTTCACTACTAGCTAACTTAATTATCTGTTCCTCAATTGCTACCGGATCAACTCCGAAGTAACAAGATCTCGCGATCACAGAAAAATCTCAGAGAAACTTATCAGTCACTGTGTAATTTAGAATTGAATTGGACGCGTAACATTGATTATGAAGACACGACTACTCAACCAACGAAGCATGCCTTGATTCCCTGTTTCTGTTGCACCTTTAACAGTAAGAGGCACACGAGGTGGCAACTGGACAAGAGAAGATGGTTTATTTATAAAGGCACGTAACTTTCAGCCAGAAGAAATGCAACCACTTTTCAATGAGAAATGAAGGAAATGGGGGAGAGGGATAGAGAGAGAGGGAGGAATTCATCTCATTATTACAATCAAAAGAAGGTAGGGATTCTTGGTATACATTGCAAACTATGCATAAACAGGATTCACCAATAACAATGTCACAGAAAGATAGGAACAAAGAGAGGTCTTCATTGTGGGGAACAATACATATAAGAACAACTATGCATCTAATCACATTGGAAGAAAGATGGGGGGTTGAAAAGAAAAGGTAAAGACTAAATAAAGAGAGCATTGAGATTCTGCCTCCCATCTTTTTTTCCACAAGTCTTTTTTCTGGTATTTTTTTTTTCACTTCACACTAAAAACCCCTGCAACAAAAAACTGGGGGGTTGAACAAGAAAACCCCTTCCAATTCCTTCTTTTTCTTTCACTGGACAAATTGGAAGCCATTAGGCTGTGAAGTGAAAGGAAGAATCTTGTGATGTTTCTCATTCTTCATTCATCTTTGGAAACAAAGAAGAGAACATAGAATATGCTACTATTCTCCACACCAACCCTCCCCTCCCAACTTTCCTTGGGACATAGACTTTCTGCTAATGAGAGAGAGGGACAAGAGAACTGCAAGTAACCTCTCATGGTTATTCAAACAAAAAAGGAGGGTGGGGGGAGCAAGGCTCATATATTGGGAAGTTCACTAAACTTTGGCCATAGTTTATTCAAAAGATGAGGGGGGGAAAGGGTAGATGGCCATATCAAGGACTAGAAAATTACGAGAACCTTTTTGCTTCCTAGTTGACGCCTAGCTTGGACCGAAAGAAAAAAAGAAAAGATCGTGGCTTTCATGAATTTTGATCTGAGGTAGAATGAACAGGAAAGTTGCAATAACCTTACGATTAGCTAGAGGCATGAGCACTGCTGCTGCTGCTGCTGCTACTGCCACTGCTGCCGCTGCCAGTTAAAGAACCAGAAGAAGGTTGCTGAGCACTTGAATAAGTTGAGCCTACGAACCCACTGTAGGTGTTTACCGATGATGATGCCATTCTCGTGGAACTGGAGGAGTCTTTGCTAGATCCTCCTGTCAGTTCAGGGCGTAGCTCCGATGATGAGGAAGATGGAGCAAGGGTGGCGATTGAAGAGCCTACGGGGTATGGTGCAACGGGCATATCGGCCAAGGATGACGCAGATGGGCTGTAACTTATTCCCATTGGATGATCGAATTTGCATGCTGGACCGAACTTGCATTGCCCGCGCTGCGTGTAGTGAGTGCAAAGAGGGGCCCCCTGATTAAGAAAAAAGGAACACATTAATTGGCTTGAAGTCAAAAGCAACTAAGCAAGGGGAGGCAGGGCAGAAGGAGATTTCATAGTTATGATCAACAGACCGATAAAACAATGTCAAAAGCACAGCAAAGAGACAACAAAATGTGAGAGAAGTTTCACGCTCAATGCATTGGAGATGGGAAATTCCTGCCTTACCATTTAACATAGAGGCCAGCAGCCCAGCATCATTATTAAAAGGAATAACATAATCATGTCTAGTTACTATTACTAGCCAATATCCCATTAGAAATTAAGCTCATAACATGACGTTCAGAAAGGACAGGAATACACCAAAACGCTGGCACAGAGGTTCGGAATACACAAGGTATCCAATTTGGATCCTTGTTGGGAAGAACATAGATTTGGACGGCTGGGTAGGAAAACGTAGATATCAAAGCCAATAGAGAAAGTCATATTCAAAAAATAATAATATTGTGATCCAATAAATATTCCATCAAAGATCAGATTCTTGATAACATAAGGTTGCTTGTGGCACATTTAAAATACCTAAACAAGAAAATCTTCATAGGAGAGACAACATCAAACAATTTAACTTCTTTGAGACCTCCGGAGTCACTTAAAGTTAATCCACAAAGAGAAAATCACAGGAAGTACCCAGCTTCCCAGAACAACTTGTCCGAGTTATCTTAAAAAACCTCTTCCATTCAATCCCAATAACTCATCTACCCATCTAATCAAACATCAAATCCATTGCAGCATTATCCCAAATAAAAATTCATAAGTGCAAGTAAAGCATGCATATGCAGGATATTGGGAATGCTTTCCCCAACTAAGGACAGAATGGGTAAGCAGAGTAGCAGTAGATAGCTTACCCCCCATACGTCTATGACCATACTCAGCCAATGTATACAGCATTATGCACACTCACTGTATACTCTTTTCGTTATATGTGTGCAATCTCCCTACCGAGTGTTAAGACATACCCATGGCAAACCCCAAAATATATCATATGCACCAGTGGAAAGACAGATAGTAAGAAATCTTGCCTCAAAAGGATAACAAGCTTCAAAAATGTTGATCACAAGAACAGGTTGATACTTTAGCGCGTGCATAATAGAGCTAAGAGAAAAGGGGTCTACTACCAGTATTTAACCAACATGATAAGAGAACCAGAATATGATGTGTGACCCAGATACAGCATTCCAATCTAAATGGAAATAACAGCCACGTGTGAAAAATGGAAGGCATAACATTCACCAAAAAGCAGTTTAAGGTGCAATACGACTGCTGAAGAAATAATAACATTTGAGGAAGAAAGATTCCAGAGAAATGAAGCAAGACTTGGATAGTTACAAAAGCAGCCACATATCGAAAGCAACTTTAACAGCTTCACATACGTTTAAGAGACATATAGAACGTAATCGTCAGGTGTACACAACTGGAAGAAAAGGAACCAAGTTGAACATAAGTCTATATTAAGAGATAGGCAGACACTACAGTGATAACAAACAGCTTATCACGATCCAAGTCTCACAAGACAAAGTAGTTTGCAGAAGTGCTTACTGGACGCAAGGGGAGACCCAAGGGACTAAGAGCTACATTCGGTTTTGGTGCACTGAATTCTGGCGGATG